AAAAAAAAAAAAAGAAATAACCCAGATTCTCAAGCTCTTCAGATGCCAGGATTGCTGCCTCTGGGTGTCTTTTTTGTCCTATAGACAAAGAAGGTTGGCGATACCTATTTCCTGTGAAGGATGCATCTCTGAGAAGTCGGCTGGCCCTACGGTTTGTGGACAGGTGGCCCCTGGAGTCATGCCTGGAGATCCTGGCCTACTGCATTTCAGACACAGCTGTCCAGGAAGGACTAAAGTGTGAGCTGCAGAGGAAGCTAGCGGAGCTATGGGTATATCAGAAGGTATGGGCCTTGGCATCAAGAGAAAGGAAACAGTTTCTCACTCTCTTGCTAACCCCAGCCTGTCCTCATATGATGGGGGATTTTCAGGAACAGAAAATGTAGTTATGGGTTTTGCTTTGCATCTGGCTTCTGTTCTTAGGTGAACAGTGAGGAGGTCTTCTATCTGGTTCCTGTGTTATGTGCTCCTATAATTTTAAATATGTTTGTATCAAGCAAGGGAAAAAATAACAGAATTAACATTGGAATGGTGCTTTACAGTCCACAAAGACTTTTTCACATGTATATTTGAGTTTTGTGTATTGCTTTTTCTATATTATGTCTTGAAGAAAGATTGTTTTAAGTTTCAGCTAAATTTCAAGAGCCATTTTGAAAGGATGTCTGGAAGTGACAATTTCAAAAGTGAAAGATTTTTGTGAGATATCTGTTATATTCAAGCTCAAGAGACTTAAGGAGACAGATTTAGGAGGCACAGCTACATAACAAGTATAAAATATATTCTGACTTTCCCATGTGAGAACAGAGTCCAGGCCCCACCAGGGGAAGTGAAAATGGCAAGTGAAAAGGTTTTCTTTTCATTCTTCCTCAGCAGTTTTCATGCAGAGCTAAAATGCTGCATGGAAGGTGATCCCAGAGAGCATTCAAACCAGAGGACTATCTTAGGTGGAGTTTTGAGTAGAGAAGCGTGGGACAAGTGGCCTCAGAAGGCTGAACAATCTGTGAAGCTTGGGACCCTCTAAGAATTGTCCTCACCAGTGACAGGTCCCAATCCTGGCCTCCTACTCAGCCCGTATTCCCTGGTTGTTTAATACTTCCTGGTAGGGTCACTCTTCTCTCTTAAGGAATCTTTGCCCCATTTGCTTTCTTTTTCCTCTTTCCTAGCAAGTTCTGATTGCCTGACTTTGGGGCAGAGGTCTAGGGATGGTCCGTCCCTGGACACACCCATGATTTTTTTATGACTTATTCATGGGGGGAGAAGCTGCAGTGTGGTTTGATGGATTTTCCTGCCTTTCCATAGATTCTAGGTTTGCAGGCTCCCCCAGCATGGTGTGACTGGCAGACTCTGAGGAACTGCTGTGCTGAGGACCCATTAGCTGTCATGAACATGATTCTAGAAGCACAGGTACCGTTTTCCTGGGTGGTATTTCCCTTCATCCTCCTTTGCTGGTTGTGTAGGCCCCTTTCCATGCATCAATGTCCACATTTTTTTAATAACTATACTACATTCTTTTGTCTTTTTTTATTGCGAAATTTGCCAACATACAGATAAGTATTAATATAAAGAATAATATGATTGACACTTTCATATTATCACCCTTGCATTCATATGTGAGATTTTCTGCTCTGTGTACACTAGGTACAAAATGGATACCTACAAGTAGAATTGCTGGGTCATCAGGCATGAGCATCCTCACCTTTACTAGTATGTTACCAAATAGCTCTTCAAATTGGTTGTCCCAGTTACACTCCCACCCACAGTTCTTACTGCTCCATATCCATGCCAACTTTTTATATTGTCCAACTTTTCACTTTTTGCCATTAGGACAGTATCTCATTATTGTTTTAATTTACATTTCCATGATTACTAGTGAATTCGAATATCTTTTCATGTGTTACTGGCCACTCCAGTGCTAAATGGAATTTTATCTACCTTTTAAGGAGCTGATATCCCACAGTTTAAAATGTAGGTGCTCATTCAAATATTCATTCATTCAGGAAACATTTATTGCTTGCCTATTATTTGCCAGTCACTGTGATAGAAGATAATAAACAAAGATAATTAAACTTAGTCCTTGCCCCAGAATGACTCACATCTTGGGGAGAGGAGTAATGTGAAATGCATCCCTATGTGACTGCAACGTAATATAGATCAAGTGACAAAAGTAAGCCCAAATTGTGGGAGCACAAGCAGGGCACCTAATATACCCTGAAAAACAAGGACGCATCCTGAAGAAGGCAGCCCCTGGCAGAGTTGTAGGAGGGCCTTCCAGATACTATCGTGTTAGAATATTTGTACAAAGTCCTGACAATTCCATTCTCTGAAACTTTAATCCACGGCTCACAAATTGGGGTTGGGGGAATAGAGAGAGGGGACATGAATGGAATACAACCACTAACATGTTTGTTTGGCCCATACAGTACTAGTCTGTAGAATTGTTATTTTTTCATATTGACTTCATTGCCAAAATTTTAAAGTAGGGAAATTTTATAATTTAAAAAACAAATTTTTTCCAATTTTTAAAATTCTGACAATATTTGGGCCTGCTCATTCCTATGGCAACAATTAGAGCTGAGTAGGTGCTGCCTCCTTTGAACAGAGTTTTCTCAGTCTTTCTCACTTCCTTAGTATCTCCCCAGGGCTGACAGCAAGTGTCAGTTGCCATATGTCATCTGCTTTTCTTTTCTATAGTAGAGCTAAGAGGAAAATGATACTAATAGTAAGCCTGCTTCAATTATTTTCATAATTTACCTTGCCACTCTTATCCTTTGAGTTTATAATCTCACTTCAGTCCCATAGTGAAGTTCCCATAAGCACTAATCAAACATATCTGGGGCTTAGCAGACCTATAACTACTGAGAAAAATCAGGCAAAAGTTGGATGAGTGACAAGGCCAGTATTTTAAAGGGATTGAATATGTGTGTGTGTTTCCTTCCAGGAGTATGAGCTGTGTGAGGAGTGGGGCTGCCTATACCCCATTCCAAGAGAACATTTAATCGGCCTACATCAAAAGCATCTTCTCCATCTTCTAGAAAGAAGAGATCATGAAAAGGCTCTGCAAGTAAGCCTCCAATTCTTTCCATTTTTCCTTTGGGTAGGAACAAGGTTAGTCAAATCATATGGCTTTTTTCTTACTGAATCCCATGCAGTATAAGATCTGCCCCTGCATGTCCTTCAGGAGCTGATGTAGTCATCTTGGGCAGAAGGTGCCTAGTCCTGCATTAGGTTCCAGCTGGGGCAGCTGGGACCAGGATTCTGCTGAACTCTGGTCCTATCAAAGCCGTGGTACATTTGTGAATCTACAGAGGTGGTAAACGAAAATGAGTATAGATAAAGGGTTAGTCCAAAATGAATAAATTTAAATATTCCTTTCTAAAACAAGACAAGACTGATCTAAGTGTTCTTCTGCGGGCCTCATCTTCCTCCTCTACCCTTCTGCAACAGCTCCTGCAAAGAATCCCTGACCCCACCATGTGCCTTGAGGTCACAGAGCAATCCCTTGACCAGCACCCTAGCTTGGCCACTTCTCACTTCTTGGCCAATTACCTCACCACCCACTTCTATGGACAACTGACTGCTGTCCGACACCGTGAAATCCAGGCGCTGTACGTGGGATCCAAGGTAAGAGGGAAAGGGGGTGTTGGGAAAGCTTGCCTGAGGGAGCACTGTGGGCCCAGCTCTCACTTCAGAACTTGCCTTTTCAGTGGCTCTTCTGCCAGCACCTACCGTCCTTGGCCTGTGCTATACAAAACTTTGACCCTAGCAGCCTACCATATCCTAGTTGAGTCTCATAGGATTTGCCATTCTTTTCCTGCCTGCCTCCACAATGAATTTTACCTAGCCCTCTTAAGTAATCTTTATGCTTTCCACAGCATCTGTTATAGCGATGCTTCTCAATTCTGACCGTATATATATTAGAATCACCTGGACTTTTACAAAATACCAGTAGTTGACTTCCACCCCAGATCAATTAAAACTGGTCTTGGGATAGGGATGGACATTTTCCAAAGGGATTTTGATGTGATCATTTAAAACTGCTGCTTGATAAACTTGTCTGTGCTAATGGAAGAGGGTTATTTTTGTAGGTAAGTAGATGAGATAATAGGTCTTTATCTTCAACGTGAAACCTTGGAGACACTAATAGAAGAAATTACAAACTAGAAAAAGTAATCCAGTGAAAGAGAGTTTGGGGAGAGTTGGGGTCCTCTGGCATTCTTCTAATTATTAATATTCTGCCTGGTAGTCCGTATACTGCCCCACAGATAGAATGAGTACTAGGAGAGCCAGGAATATAACCACTGGCCCACTTACTAATAGGTAAACTACATAAAATATTTCTAAAGAAGATACATCTCTTTTTTTTCTTTTTGATGCACTGTATCTAAGTAGGTGAACCCTTGAAAAGTGGCAGTGAGCACAGCCAGTGAACATATTTCATATGTAGTGATCGTGACCTCTAAAGGGAGTTTATAGTCATCACTTAGGACACAACAGGTGCTGGATTTCAGCAGTCCACTGACATCACCTTGTATTGCTCTTTCTAAATAAAGCCTCAAACAGAATGGTGGCATTAAGGGTCAGGGAGACTCAACCATGCCTGAGTGGTCTAGGCCAGGAGCCTGCAGACTACTGCCTGTGGACCAAATCCAGTTCTCAGCCTGCTTTTACAAATCAAGTTGTTTTTTTTTTTTTTTGAGACAGAATCTTACTCTTTTGCCCGGGCTAGAGTGAGTGCCATGGTGTCTGCCTGGCTCACAGCAACCTCAAACTCCTGGGCTCAAGCAATCCTTCTGCCTCAGCCTCCCCAGTAGCTGGGACTACAGGCATGTGCCACCATGCCCGGCTAATTTTTTTCTATGTATTTTTAGTTGTCCGATTAATTTCTTTCTAATTTTAGTAGAGACGGGGTCTCGCTCTTGCTCAGGCTGGTCATGAACTCCTGAGCTCAAACAATCCGCCCGCCTCAGCCTCCCAGAGAGCTAGGATTACAGGCGTGAGCCACCGCGCCCGGCCTACAAATCAAGTTTTATTGGAACACAGTTACATCTATCATTTACATATTTGTCTATGGCTGCTTTCAGGCCACATTGACAGAGTTGAGTGGTTAAGACAGAGACCTTAGGGACTGTAAAGCCTAAAATATTTACTCTCTGACCCTCTATAGAAAAAATTTACCAACCCCTCATCTGGTGAAGGTACCTGGAGTACTTTCCAAATGCTACCTGGAAGATTTAGATGGGAGTTCAGCCTTGCTTTCTAAAAGACTGCTAGCCAGTTTCAGTAGTTGGCTATGGGCCTTTTGGTCTCTGGCACCCTTCCCCATCCGTGAGAATCTCAAGTTTCTTCTGAAATTTGTATACTATTTTCTTTACTCTATGGCTACCCCACAAACAGGTTTTGCTGACCCTCCCTGAACAGCACCGGACCAGTTATTCCCACTTGTCCTCTAATCCCCTGCTCATGCTGGAGCAGCTGCTCATGAACATGAAGGTGGATTGGGCCACTGTGGCAGTGCAGACCCTGCACCAGCTGCTGGCCGGGCAGGAGATTGGCTTTACCATGGACGAGGTGGACACGCTGCTTTCCAGATATGCAGGGAAAGCCCTGGACTTCCCATACCCTCAGAGGGAGAAACGATCAGGTAACTTCCAGCATCCTAGAAGGGAATTCTACATGGTGGAGAAAATGCCGTGGCTACATTCTTAGTTTTCAATTTCTTCTCTTTTATTATTTTGGGTTGATAAAGAATGAACGGAATTCACTTCAGGAGAAAGAGCTCTTTATTATATAGGAGAGATCTTGGTCTTGGAGAAAGTAGAAGACTAATCAGAATTAAATGGTGGTAAATAACCACTGCATGCGTAATAACATAAAGGTTTGGGAAATAAAATATGCTGGAAATAGTCCCGGTCTGGCTTGATGTGGCGGGCTCTCAACTGCCATCATTTTGTACTGAGAGTATGCTCACATAATCACTTGCGTGTGAGCTAACTCAGCCAGCTCTTTTTTCTTACTCCCCACCCTCCAGGGACATCATTTAAATGTCTTCCTTCTGGGCATTTTAGATTGATTTTGTAGAATCCTAGTTTCTGCTTCATTATCTCATGTGCCTAAACATGGTTTGTTTTTTGAGGAATTTAAGAAATATGCATGGTATTGGCTTAGAATAGAAGCATCTCTACCATTCTCTTTATATCTAGTAGAATCATGGAATGACAATCAGTGAAGCCAACAGATCTTTGAACTAAATGCCTAGGTGGTGAATAAAGACACTTGTGGTAGGACGATAATTTGTCAGCATTTTCCCTCCCTACAGATTCTGTGATTCACCTCCAGGAAATTGTCCATCAGGCTTCAGAGCCCGAGACCCTCTCTAGATCACCATCAGCAGAGTTCTCTCCTGATGTTCTTCCTGGTAAGAGACATTTCTGACCATTCACTAAATTTTCTAGTTCAATCTTGTCTTATTCTGACTTTCTGATTTTTGCCTCTTTTTTCATTTCTGGTTATGACATTATCGTTTTACTTGGTTCATTCCGGCTTTGTATATCCCAAAAGATTCAACGTAGAGTCGATTCTCATTGTTTGTGGCAACATGTCTGTTGCAGAACCCCAAATCCAGGATCATGTACTCGATGTACAGCTAAAGCCAAACACTGTGACACCAGTGCTTGGAGATAGAGAAAAATTTATTCGATTTGGCCAAAGCGTGAAGACAGGAGAGAAAATCTCTGAGATTTGCCTTGTCACAGAAGGGAGGCAGAGAGCTTTTATGTGGATTCCAGGGTAGGGTAGGGGGGTAAGTAGTTGTTGCTTTGAGTCTCAGATAACACCTTGAGTAAGCAGACTTCTGGGCATCAGCAGCTAGTTACAACTTTTTCAGGGGCAGTCATTCCTTCTGCAAAACAAACTCATAGATTCTTCTGGTGACCTTGCAGTTACCTCCTTCAGAAATAGCACATCCCCAGTTAATAATTACTATGAGAGCAAGGGGTGCTGGGCAGGAAGCAAGCAGTTAACATGTGCAAACATCCAAGGGCCTAGTTCAATTTTACATTATTTCATTCACTAAAAATGCCAGGGTACTAAAATTTCAAGGGGCCCGGCTACATGTCCATAAAGTCTCCATAAACAGTAAATTACTGAATCTTGAACCCTTGATCCTAGGGGAAATATGTGCCTGTGTATACACACATCTCACGTAGATTATAATCTTAAATCCTAAAAACAACTCACCCTAGTCCATTCTATTTTCTTTTACAAAAGAAAAGAAGAGATTCAGAAACATTAAGTGACTTGCCTGAGGCCACCTCAAATGAGTGCCTGATTAGGGAATTAAACCCCTATTACTCAGCCATAAAAAAGAATGAAATAATGTCTTTTGCAGCATCCTAGATAGAACTGGAAGCCATTATCCTAAGTGAAGTGTTTCAAGAACAGAAAAACAAATACGCACATACTCACTTATAAATGGGAGCTAAGCCATGGGTATACATGGTCATGAAGAGTGATATAATGGATTTTGGAGACTCAGAAAAGGGTAGGCAGGGAGCGGGGTGAGGGATCATAAATTACTTATCGGGTACAATGTACACTATTCGGGTGACAGGTACCCTATTCAGGTGACGGGTACACTAAAAGCCCTGATTTCACCACTATACAATTCATCCATGTAACAAAAAAAAAAAAAAAAAACACGTGTACCACCTAAATCTATTCAAATTTTTAAAAAAGACCCATCCAACTGGCCTCAGAGCTGAGATTCTTGTACTTCCCTACTCTGCCCTCTCCTGTCTCCATCCTCTCTGGTCACTCTCCTATGAGGATTGAAACAACCTCAGCTGAGAACTGGAGTATCGGGCAATTCAAAATTTTCACAACTGCACAAATTCACAAATGTCCCTCAGAAAGCACATCAAGCATTGTTTTTGAGGTTACAAATAAATTTTAGTGAATAGGCAAATTCACAAATATGGAATCTGCTTATAATGAGGATCGACTGTAGTCAGCCCTAAAATTCATACTGTCACCCACACAGGGTGTGACTCCTTGAAGGCCTCAGCGTGTCTTGGTCACCCTTTTCACCACCCCTCCTGTCCCCAGGTCTCCGGATCCTGCACAATGGCCTACTTCCAGAGGATGCTTAGCTGAGTGTCTATTTTGCCAAACGGGAGCAGGATTTTAAGTTCTTTTCTTCTGTTTGCTACTAAGTATCACTATGTTTGACAGTTCCCTTTTTCTGTGACCAGCCAACATTGTTCTGCTAATTGATAAGAAATCTCCTTATATACCAAAAAGCAGACTGTGGCATTTCCTGGCCATATTTTGAGAATTAGCTGTATTTCACAGCAAACAGCAGAGCTGAGGGAGGGCTCAGCATTGCAGGTATATGAGCAGCTTTGTGCATCTGCATAAGGCAGCAGCCTTGGCAGCTTTGGCACAGATGTACATGTATATACTTATTTTTTTAACATGTATGTGTATATATATATGCAATATGCATCATATATGTATGCGTGTGTGTGTATGTGTGTGTGTGTTTATGTGTGTATATATATAAGCTTATTTTTGTTTTTGAGACAGGGTTTCACTCTGTTGCCCAGGCTAGACCGCAGTGGCATGATCATAGCTCACTACAGCCTCAAACTCCTAGGCTCAGGTGATCCTCTTGCCTCAGCCTCCCAAGTAGCTGGGACTACAGGCATGTGCGAGTATGTCCCGCTAATTTCTCTATTT